AAGGAAAGGAAAGGAAAGGAAAGGAAAGGAAAGGAAAGGAAAGGAAAGGAAAGGAAAGGAAAGGAAAGGAAAGGAAAGGAAAGGAAAGGAAAGGAAAGACGCTTGTGGTCCATTTTGTAGAAAATGAGGAAACATCAGGGCTACTACTCTCAGCTTTGCAAGTTGTGGACAGGGATGTTCACAATGCTGACACAATACAGTAGTGTATAAAAATCCTTTAGGAAGGGGCAACTTTTTCTAATTCACACACAGGTACCATATGGCCTAGTAGAGACCACTTAGCTACCATTCTTATCTATGTCCAGATTTAAAGTTCTAAATCCAGTAGTAATAGCTTCTTCCATCTACACCTTGCTCACTAAGTATTCACCACTCACCTTTCTCACATGTCTTTCCCATAAATCCAGGGGGGCAAACACACTCCCCAGTATCTTCATGGCAGACACCGTTGTTCATGCAAGCAGTGCACAGACGGTTACAGTCAGGGCCCCACTTCTGAGCTTCACATCCTTTAAGGAAAACAGGTGGAGATGAGTAATAAGGTTCACCCTAAAAACTGCATTGAGAATCTAGTCTGTGTAAGTTATTTTAGATGGCACTGGTGAATACAGATGACATACAGTCTGTGGTGAACTTCCCAACATGCTCAACTATAGGTGTGTTGGGAGAGGTCACTAGATAGGGTGAGTATTCAGAAACAAGAGAGGCAATCACACTCAGGTACAGAAAATTATCCTAAAAGATGATTTTTTTCTATTCAACCAAATATCTGGGTTGTTAAAAAGAGGAAGTATGGGCACAACAGACCTGCACTCTGCTATAGAACTTTATCCAGCACATATTCTATCTTGAGAGTGGTTCTGACAGCACAAGCAAAGGACCAGGCACTACAGGGCCTGGGTAGGGACTGCCATATTCTCCCTGTTATATGCAAGAAGAAACCCAATGTGGGAGTCTGCTGCAGTGTGGGCCTCAAGAAGCCACAGGCTACAACCAGAGAGAGGTAAAGCCAGGAATACAAAACATGCAATCCCTCCCCCATCATCCTCCCAAACACCAGAGAGCACTTCAGCATCTTACCCAACATCCATTGGCCACCACCCATAGCTGAGTGCCAACAAAAGAAGCCCCAGATCTAGGCAGAGAAAAGCTAAACACCACAAAAAATGTGTGACACTGAACCCAGGGACCTGCTGATTTCATCTCCAAAGATATGGGGAAGGGAAAGAGACTGAAGGAAGCAGATCATAGTGGACAGTAGCCTATTGTAGCCCTACACATTAGAAAGAGCTGATACTGTATGAAATCTAGTACATGAAATCAACTATCCACTCTGCCCTTACAGACAAAAAAAAGGCATTCTGTTGAGAATGGGGACAGTAACAAATTTCACCTGTTCAAAAGAGGAGCTCTTGAGTCAAGGACCAGAGACAGATAAAAATTTGAATGAAAAGGAAAAGAGTCACTTGAAATAAAGGATTTCTGGTGATACAGGGGACAGAAGAGCCATGGAGGGAGAGTGCAGAAAGGGATGCAGGATTTGCCCTGAAGCAAGGGGAGAGGGAACAAGTCACTTGTGGAAGTAGACAGAAAACTGAGCATTGGGCAAACTGCTTCACATCCTGTTCTTCCCAAATTAATTGAGGCAGTTGGACCTTGGGACAGAGATAAAGGTCTACAATTGACTATATCAGCTTTTTCTCATTTGGGGGGACTCTTTAACCACATTGGACAATTTGCTAATTCCACTGTCTGGTTTGGGCATCTTTGACTACGCTGGTTTCTTTGCTCCCTCTTTGATCATTCTGTATAGCTCAGCTATTTGGCATTTGATTTACTCTCCACTGGTGACCCTTGTATCTGCTCTGGGGGTGTTGGGAGTCTTTGGAGGCATTTTGTTACCTTGTGTTTGCATGTTCCTCACTTTTGTATGAGAGTTGAAGACAAATAGAGTTGAGGACAAATAGAGTGAAGTGATTTTTTGTTTGCTTGAATGCATGGGCATCTCTCTGGTTAGGTTCTGTTTTCTTGATGTGATCATGACATTTTGTCAACAGGTATGGTTTACTTTTCTTTCTCTCTCTCTCTCTCTCTCTCTCTCTCTCTCTCTCTCTCTCTCTCTCTGTTATGCAGTCCTGTCCTCAACTGTTAGAAGGAAATCAAAAGGGTCCCCCAAAATAAGAAAAGTGGACCAAATCCATTCAAAACATGAATGCTAAGTTAACTAAACAGACATAGGCCATGAAAATAGTTGACACGAAGAAGACTTAAGAATAATTGGAATTAGAGAAAAAAATAAAGGACAGCACAAATGGAATACAAAATTTGTTTGCAGGAAATATTCTAACTATGGGAAAAGAACTCAGCATACATGTAAGTGCACTTACAGAATCCCAAATGATTATAGCAAGAGGAGAAGCTCTTCATGACACAACAGAGTCACAAGCCCATAAGGCTCTCATAAGGACAGAATCTTCAAAGTTGCCAGAGAAAACAATGAAAAAAATCACTCATAAAGGTGAACACATTAGGATTGGAGCAGACTCTCAACACAAAACTTAAATGCCAAGAAAACATGGCATGAAGTACTTCAAGCCCTAAATGTAAACAATATTTAAATCCATGCTAATCTGTCCTATATGGGGAAAGGATATTCCATAACAAAAAAAAATCTTAAGAAATTTATTACCATAAAAGCACCACTCCAAAAAAAATTCTCAAAGCTATCATAGAGAGAGAGAATTAAGACAACCAAACAAAAAAGTTGGCTGGGATCCATATATTAAGAAGGGAAAATAAGACTGGGCATGGTGGCACATGCCTGTAATCCCCGGTGCCTGGGAGGCTGAAAACAGGAGGATCACAATAAGTCCAATCTGTAGAGTGAGACCCTGTAGACCCTCTTCTAAATACATAAAAAAGAAAAGAAAATAGTTAAACAAAAAGAGAAAAAAGGAATCAACAACAGTATAATACATTGTTGACAGGAATAATTCAATACCTTTCAGTAATAACTCAATGTATGTAGCCTCAATTCTAAAACTAAAAAGCAGAGATTGCAGACTGAACCACAAAGCAAAACCCAGCAGTGTACTACATGAAGAGACACATCTATTCCAAAAATAATTCATATTAAAAATCAAAGGATAGAAAAACAATATTGCATACATCAGGACTCTGAAGATAAGCAGGGGTAGCAATCTTATTGTTTAAGTGGACTTGAAACCAAAACATGTCAGAAGTGGCAAAGCAAGTCATACATGTTAGGTAATGTGATAACTTAACAGCATGATAATGATTATAAACATATATGCACAAAATACCAATGAACCTTACTTCACATAATGAACACTGCTCAATACAAAATATTAAATGAACACAAATACAGTCATAGATGGGAACCTCAACACACCATTTTCACAAATAGATCACCTAGACAAAAACAACAAAAAAGTCAGAGCTGATCCATAATTTCAAAAAAACAGATTTAATATCTACTGAATATTCTATCATACAATACAATATACACTTTTCTCAGCAGTACACAGAACTTCTCCAAAGCAGACCACATACTATCCTATAGAACATACAAAATTAAAAAAAAAATCATCCTATATATACGATCATATAATAGTACATTAAAACTAGAAATCAATTACAAGAGAAACCACAAAAATTTTATAAACATCTGGATATTAAGTATGCACTCCTGATAATGAATAGTTCACAGAAAAAAATTAACACTTTCTAGAATCAAACAATGATGCCAATACAACATACCAAAACCTCCAGGATACAATGACAGAAGTACTCAGAGTGATATATTCTGAATACTTATATTAGGAAAATAGAATGAGCTCAAATAAATAATGACATACCCTAAGGTCCTAAAAGACAAGAGCAGTCTAAATGCAAAGATAGTACAGAAGGAAGTTATAAACAACAGGAGAAATCAAGGAGATTGAGACTAATAAAAATACAAAGAATAAATGAATTGAAGAGTGAAAAAAATAAAACAGGCAGGCCCTTAGACAAACTTATCAAAAGAGGAAAACACCCACAGCCATGAAATCAGATGCTTCCCAAATCCAGAAGAACATTATTGACTACTATGAAAAATTATACTCCAACAAATCAGAGACTCTAGAAAAAATTAACCTAACCAAGAAAACGAAACATCTCTATAACAAAAACTAGTACTTTGCTTTTGCAAAGATCAAAGAGGATATCAGTAAATAGAGAGCCATCCCTTTTCCCAGCATGACAGAACAAATAGTGCCAAAACAGCCATATTTTCAAAGCTTACATAGATATAGATTTAATAAAATCCCAGTCAAAATATTAACAGCCTTCCCCACAAAACTACAGAAAATAATCCAAAAATTCATGGAACTAGAAAATACACATAGTAGTAAAAGCAATATGGGCAGGAGGCATCATGATCTTGGACTTCAAATTGTATTATAAGGTTAGCATGATAAAAACAGCATAAAACAGCATATGGTACTGGCATAAAAATAGACATGTGGATCAATGAAACAGAATAGGAAACCAAAATATATTCACATTCAGCCACTGATCTTTGTCAAAGGAGCTAAAACCTACACTGGAGTCATGATAGCACTGCCAAAACTCATTGTCCACATGCAGAAGATTGAATCTAGACTCATAGTTCTCATCATGTACTAAACACAAATAAAAATGCATCAAAGACCTAAACACTAAAACAGAAACATATAATCTAATAGAAACTAAAATAGGTGAAACTCTTGAAGCCAGGAGGTGAGAACTTTGAACAGAACTTGATTTTTAAAAGAAACACCATCAATATTCAACAAATGAAATTATATCAAAATAAGAGACTTCTGCCCAGACCCAATCATAGCCCAGGTCC